GAGTATTAATTAATTAATTATTATTATAGTTAGTTCGAACAAATTTGACGCACTTTTGGGAAAAATCAAATCACATCCGATGCCTGTGAGCGTTCTTTGAAAATCTCCAATAGATAATACTAAGTACAAATACACGAAACAAGAAAATAAGTACACCCACCAATGAAAGAGGTCTACGATGCTACGATGTGTTAACGTACACACTTCATTGTGTTGCAGCGTTTTTGTTTTCAGTCCTTTCGCAAAAAATAAGCAGAAGCAACGATCGATTTCACGTCAAATTTAAAAAAGACATTTCTTGCAAACCATATCGCTTTTGCTAAAAAAAGAACTATTTGCTATTTTACAGATAATGTTTAACGAAATATTAGCAAGATATTTTGTTAAGGTATATTGAGTTAAATTTATAATTTGCTGTGTTGAATTGATAAAAATATTATTCTGCGTAAGCTGCATCCGTAAAAAACTGTTTCCTTGTTGTCTCAGCCTATCAAGATATTTGCATCGTGTTGAAATGAAAACAATCTTCCTTGATTACATATCTAAAGTACGTCGTATTTGTAGCATACAAGGAAAACGCTGGAAAGTACTAAACTAAAATATCACCGGTATGTCAATATTTTATAGGTTCAGTAGAATATTTGATATCTACTCAAACTGTAAAAGTTAGGAGCGCCTTACTAGTACTAGTGTATGCAGGTCAATATGTTGTCCACTAAAATCTTGTTTGGCCCATTTTAGAAAATACAGCCATTTAATTCCGTTTTCGTATAATCACTTTAAAGAATTCTTTCGATCTATATTGCTCTTAAGCAGGCTCTACTCAATGCTCAATAGCCGAATCAGGTAGAGGACTATAACATAAATTTAACGTGTCAGTTTCAGAATCTTCGATTTCAATTTTCAGCTGCTGCACATCAATTATCCGGATACTTTTAACCGAAAATATCTTCCGGCAAAGATAAGTCGGTCTCTGGCAATCGTACAAAATCCATTAGAAGTCGATTACAATAAAAAAAAGCGCTTTATGTTTGAGAGTCAATTATATGTTCTACGCTGGTATATAATATATATCAATTAGTTAGGACTTTTTGCTCTAGAAGAATAAGTTGTTTAGCTGAAATTCAATTTAAAAACCGACTCTACCTAAAACCAAATTCATAATTAAAGAAGTTAGTTTCGCTAATGGCCTTTTCTCTGCTCGTTTTAAGGCATTTTGCAGTTGATAGAGAAAAGCTTTTAACTTTTAGAAAAGTCCAGATTCGGATAACTACTTAGCGTCTGAACAATTTTCTTATATCTACGGAATTAGAGGTGACACAAGCGTTTACCGCATCGATGAGCGCAGTCCGACTTTATGAGAAAACTTTATTTTTGGTTCGTTTAAACTTTTCCTAACAAAAGTAACAAAACCAGGGACCTTTCTGTCTTGCGGTCTCGTACACAAAACACAAGCAGTAAGACTAGCACCGGAATTGCCTTGCTATATAATTTAACTTTAAACATTCGGCAATTCTGCTGACTTGGCCGTGATGTACCTAACCTTTGACACGAACTATACAAACAAATTTCTTTATTTCTTCACTAAATTCGCCAACAAATCAAAAAGGTAATTAAAGTTTCATGTTCCTCATTTTTTGAATACATTCCCATTTTCTGACTTGTTGTTGTGAATGTTGTTGTTGATATAAAGCTGTGTAACTAAATGACTCTGTTTTTCCACGGGTACGTAAAACTGACTGTGACTGTACTGACTGCATATGAATATTGATTACCTGAAGCATGTAACCACAATAGTATATTGTGCGACAAGTGCAGTAAACGGCATTTGACTCACGAGTTTATTTCACACGAGCGGAGCGAGTTTTTAATAAACGAGTGAGTTAAAAAGTTTACCGAACATGTTGCATACTATACTTTTTCTACGATAGCTAGTTTTTGAGTACATTTTCCCAAAACAACACGAATACCTTCACTGGCATGACTGTCAGAATTGACAAACGTCAAAATTCAAAGCGTGAGAAACATCTCCGAAAACATCCGATTGCTCCCAAATCCGTGCGGTAAAATCCCGAAAATGTCCGAAGTGGGTTGCATTGATGGGAAACGAAACTGACGTTGTAAAGTGACACTTCTTGCAACTAGATCGGTGGGTAATTAGATATTTTACAGACGGGAGTAGAAAAACAATATTAACCCTTTGCACTCGTAGGTCGCTGTATAGGCGGCACACCATGTCTTATCATTACACCAGGTTGTCCGGTCTGTCATCCTCTAAGTTCATTTCTAATATTTCTAAATTGCTTTTTTTAACCTTCGTTGAGGACAGGTTTACGTAAAAATAAAATATAGAATGATATTTAGTTTATACATTAAGCTTAACAGCTTAACAGCTTACGATGGCATTTTCTATCTGTTGATGTATATATTTCAACCACTTCAATTCACATGTGCGCCATTTTTGCAAATTTATACCTGATTCTCTTAATAAATCAACATTTGAGAAGAAGAGTACGTGGACTTAACTTACAAGTTCTAAATATCGAATTGCCTAGTGTCAATGCATATTGACAGCAGAGAGGGAAACTAGATACATTTGTGACACTTGCACCCGAATGCCTGGACTACACATTGGTCACTGCTTCGAACGGTACCATACACTAGAACATCATAGGATGTAATTTTTTTATATTGTGTATGAATTGATTTAATAATAATCTTAGTGATTATGATAATAATAAAATACTATAAAGACATAGTTTTTATAAAGCGATTTTTTTTATTAAAAAGAAAACAATATAAAAAAATCCAGGTAGACAGATTAGATAGATAGATAGACAATAGTCCGAGTACAGTGTACTCGCGAAAGAACACATATACGAGTGCAAAGGGTTAAGTTTATTGTATAACAGAGCAAAAAATTGCAGCACACGACTATAGCAAAAGGCATCGACTTGCATATGGCAGCCGCCATTGATGAATTTTCCACATACCGTTTAAACCTCAATACTTGTAAATTTACGATTAGGTGTCCAAGCAAAATTAAAAATTAAGGTGACGTTAGTTGGAAGAAAGAAAAAAGGATAAGAGTACAGTATGTAGTAAACAACTGTATAAGTATGGTTGTAAATAACTTTAATTCATTTCATGAGAGATGAAAGCAAAGCTAATATTGTGACTATAGAATGAGTCGGTTTAGTTCACATCTGAATACATTTGATTTTTTGATTGGTATGGTTGCATGGCAGTTTTTAAGATTATTTTTTCAATCTATCGTCATTTTTTTCCCAATACTACCTTATAATAATTTCCTACTTTGAAAGTGATCCAATCAAGTTTGGTGAATCTCAAACGTTGTTATTATCTTTCTTAATAGCAATGTCACTTTACATTGTGTATATACACAAAACTATAAAGTTATTTGTCAAAATTTCAAAGTTATTGCCTTTAAGTCTTTTTTCTGTTTTACTCTTTGTTTGTAATAAGTAGGTATTACAGATCGGATAAAATCAAATAATAACAATGAGAATCCTCAATATATACAATAGGCGAGGTGCCATATTTCAATTTACTTAAAAGAATTAGCAAATATATCTTTTTTTGACTTCTAAATATATTTGATATTTTTCATTTTTCTTCCCCTGACCAGACATTATACACCTCTGAAATATCTTCCACCTATTTATCGAAAAATGTGCGTACTTTACTCTGTTTCAAATTATTTTATTAGTACGTAGTATAAAATGACGTAAGTAGCTGGGGAATTAGATACGAATACGAAACGGAATAGAAACGAACTTTTAAAAGAATATTATGAGTTATCCTAGTATAGGATAGAACATCAATAATCTGTATCAGGCTTCCTTTACAAAAATTAAATAATTCCCTTCCAAATATTTCTTGTTAGTTAATAATTTTAAACTTCAAAAATATTTCTAAAATAATGGATTCATCACCTATTAATGAAATTATCAAGAACAATGGCACATTCAAAGTGAACGAGCATATTGGGTCGCTCAGCAAAACTAAGCGCTAACTTTCAATTCTTGATGTCTAAATCCTCCCCGTTATCTAAATCTTTTTAAACCTTTAGGTGCTAAAACGTTTTTAGCGTTATGTTGTCCCAGTTCTACTACAAATAAATCCTTCCCCAAATAAAAATTCTCACAGAGCGCCCGAAAAGCGAGCGGCTTTAAGTCAACATAGGAAGCAGTTATTTTTACGACCGTCGCTATTTTATGGTGATATTAAATGATCGGTAAAAATGGAAAGTGTATTTCGGGATGATTTCCAGGGATTTATTTTTCGTTTCGGCCGAATTTATTGAAACTCCGTTCGGATTTATCGCCTTTACTATACCACGGTGTTCCAACTTCATTTAATTTTGGAAATTAAAATCCCTGTTCTGATATTGAACCAAATTGTACCCGACAAAATATTTCCAAGTGAAACCGGGAACGTTTCTTATATTAACGAATTTAGCTTTATAATTTCTGCAAACTAAGCCGAAACAACATATTAGTAAAAATCGTGCAAGTTTGTCAAAAATGTAACCAACTCACATATAAAGTGATCAATTTTATAAAATTTTTTGCAAGTACACCGATAAATATTCTCATTTGTTACAGAAATTTCGATAATCATTACTCAAGTGTAGCTGGCGTAATCATATCATTTATTATCTCTAAATTAATAACAATATCTGTGCCATTTGTGTTCTAGAAACATTTTAGTCAGAAATTTACCGGCTTAAGGAATGTTTCATGTATTAGGGATTATTTTAATATTCTCTTTTGAGTATTGCCAAGCAGCGGGTAAAGTAGCTTTTCAACCGTCATTTGCATGATTATTCTGTTTACGAGTTTAACATCATGCACGAAAGTTGCAGTAATTTACAAGGCCACAAAGTCTCACGTAAAACCGATCTGTAAATGTACAGCAAACTTCATTCCTTTAAATCCCGGTTTTCCTTTTTTTCTTGTATAACTCTTGAATTTCAGTTCATACCAGAGTCGCAAATGGAACAAACGCTACAGAAGGGGAATTTCCTTACATGGTAAGTTTCAAAATCAACGGAGCTAATATCAAATGCTAATAAATTTTCAGGTGTCCGTAAGAAGTTTTGAAAACGGAAGACTGCATCAATGTGGTGGTACAATCATAGCAGAGAAATGGGTACTGACTGCAGGACATTGTATCGATGAGTAAGTACAATTTTATAGATGAAATAAATAGGGCACTTGCATTCTCAATCACATTATAGGACGGTATCTGCTGTTCGTTATGGTTCCTTATTATTGTCTCAAAATGTTGTCGACAGTAATCACACTATAGGTATCAAGAACATATTTTTACATCCAGATTACAATTTTACTCTATGGAATTTTACTTTGTGGACAATGACCAACGATATTGCTTTAATAGAGGTAATGTTAGTGAAATTATTAGTCACCAAAAGTTAGCGAAATTGAATTTATTTATAAGAAAATCTGTTATTACTATAACGACTTGTTCTTTTCCAAGTTTAATCTTAGTTGTATGCAGAAGCTTTTCAAGTTGTAGTTCAACAGATGTGACGAATTTTCATTATTACTACCTAACAGGAAAATACTGATGATCATAACATCCATTTTTTGTAAATTCGCAATATTAATTAGTTTCGTTTTTTTGAATAGTTAAACGAAACATTAACATTTAACAAGGACGTCCAGCCAATCAAACTGCGAGAATCGAATAATGAGGTTTCTGCCGATCTCATCAGCACGTTATTGGGCTGGGGATATATCGACAGTGCCTTTAACAGATACGACACGCTGCAAAAGGTTCAGCTGATCACCTTTTCGGACGATTACTGTCTTCGATATTACAACCCTATTCAATTCGTCAAGAATATGTTCTTTTGCGCTGGAAACCTGGATAACACGAAGGGATTCTGCAGCGTTAGTAACTTAGAAATTTTGAATGGGTGTTCTGATTTCCACACAGCCAGTTTCTGTATTTTAATTTGGTATTTTCGCTCTCATTATTATATACCACGAAAAGTCTACTCTACAAGAGAGGCAGTTTTTTTCTGATATAATTTGAGCATATAATTGTTATTCGAAAAGGGATGCCAATGTTCTCAATTAATTTAACAACAAGATTTAAAAGATTTGCCTACTGATCAATTGACAAGTTGCACTTTTGGATTTTACAAAATTAACCCAGTCATAATTTCAAACGCCTTATAACAAAGTATGCTAGAGCTGGATCGGACCGATCTATTGCCTATCATTTTATCAATAACTCAATAATTGTAGAGATTCTCCTGAATATTTTATTAATTCTAAAAGTGGTAGCAAACTAGGACTATGATTCTTGTTCAAAACTGGACACTCAAAAACCTATTACACGTGTTCGAAAATTTGGTCTATCTTTAGTAGCTTTTTATAGAGCTTACTGACTGCTTTTATACGGTTACAATATAAATAACTTCGAGCTATGAGAATGTTGATGCTTGCATAGTTTGTTTCACGAAATACAAAGATAATCTGCAGCGGTGTCGAAAACTGTGCGCCCTTCACAAAACAAATAAACAAATTTGAGTTTCGTTTTAAATTTTAGGAGGATTCTGGTGGTCCACTTATAGTTGATAACGAGCAAATCGGAATTGTTTCGTTCGGATTGACACCCTGTGCCTCAGGACCAGGTGTCTACACCAACATTTCGCCCTACAGAGATTGGATAACAAAGGTTACCGGAGTTTGACGTTAGAAAGGCCTGTTTGTGGTTCGCACATTTACTGTTTGGACAAAATAAAAACAATTGATATTATTAAATACTTCTGAAACAGTTCTTTGTTATCGTTAAGTGTAATTAATACCAACAGCACGCCACACTATACCCACTAAATATTACAAGCACGGGTTTAAAAAATTCCTATAATCATAAGGTCGTGAAAAGGCCTCTAAATTAAAAGTGAAAGGGAAGATAAAAAAACGATTTAATTGCTTTATATTACTTTAATGTCTAAAATATAACATATGTATAATACAGAAATTCATAGAGATGGGTGGATTGATGTTTTAAAAATATTATTTTATTTTTTAAATCAATCACGTGAAAAACATATTTTTCATGTCAAAAAGATTTTATTGGGATTAAGTAATATAAAATATATATAATATAAAATTAAATAATTACGAATCGGTTTTAATAAAACGTTAATTGTGCAATCCTCTTTAAGCCGTGGACAGTAAAATAGGCACCGATATTAGAGAATATATTATTATATATATATATATATATATATATATATATATATATATATATATATATATATATATATATATATATATATAATATACATTAAAATGAGTAAGATTTGAAAATTTTTAACTAGCTGGTAGTATTTAGAACCTCAAGAGACTTATCGAAAACTATTTCGGTAAGACTCGCCGATACGATAAAAATAATAGTTTATTTTGCAAAAGTTAAATAAACGATGCTTTAGTCACGAGATTATGTGATATTGTGTGAAGAAGTTAATTAATTAATTAATTAACTTGGCACATATGAATAATTTAGAAGCATTAGTTTTCTGACCTGATAAGTAACGCAACGGCAATTATTATAGAAAATTTTCTCCGTTAGGTTAGTCATAACTCATGGCTGGTAAATTATAATAAGACAATGTTCAGACCCTTCAAATCTTGAGAAGAAGGTCAACTTTAAATATATATTTACTTTTATAACATTACTTCTGTTTGGCTTCACTTGGATAAAATACATGCGGTGAAGAAATATTCGATGATTGTTTATAACATTTCACCGGGCTTTGTACAAATTTCTTGTCTACATATTTGTTAACAAGGGGGACGTAACTCAATTAATGTCTCTTTCGGAATTGGACGTGAAAGTTCCGCTTCATTGTTTTGATTACTTAGAAAATTCTGGCAGGGTTTAAGGAGGGGGAAGAGTTTAATTATTTGGATCGCTAAACAAAAAAGGTCTCAGTTATTTTGATCAGCGCCACAGGCTACAGTCAGCGCTCAACGTAACTATTTAAAATTGCCAGTGTAACACATATAGAAATAACAATTTTTAAAAACGTTTTACTCAATGGTATGACACTACTAATTAATATATCGACGATTTCATTCTAACTGTTACTTTTTTACGTAAACTTTCTAATATTTTAAAAATAGACATTTTTAAAAATGTTTTATCGTTATTATTTCTGTATTTTGCTGTAAAAATAAAATTTTACTACAACTTCAAAACGTGAAGAAGGACAAATAAATTTCAAATTTTTCAAAATTCAAAATTTTTCAAAATTTTCCATTGCAAGGTACTGTAAATTTAAGTTCTAAAATCAGATAAACTCATTGATCATTTCTTCAACTCCATGTTTGTAAAAAGTACTCAGATGACGTACTTTCAACATGAATCACTAAACGTTTCATAAATCTTAGGCATATAAATTCGAGTCATATAAATTCAAATTCAAAAATTCGTTAAAATACAAAAGTTATTGAACCGGAATTCAGTGCTAACATAAAACATTAAACAAAAATGTGTCTTTTTTTTAGTTTCATCATAGAAATAAGAATTTATTATGAGGTAATTTAATTCATTTATTGCGACAAAACAAAAGAAAATTTACAAATAAATTTTAGAAATGGATATGGCACAGTAATGACATTAAAAATCATTATTATATGATTAATTAATTTCCCGTGAGGACAAAAAATAGGACATAAAAAATCACAGTTAAAATAGAAGCACCCATATCACATTTCATGGACGCATTCGTAAAAGGGTTAATGGCAGTAGGGACAGAAAATTGTCTATATAACAATCAGAATAAAATCCAATTCGGCATAAGAACGATATTTTTATCAAATATGAGAAGCAATTTTTAAAACTCCGCCAACTTAAATAAAAGCTTCTTCAGAAAATATTGAAATGAGTCAGTTCAACGCGTAGTTTAGTTGAAATTATTGATTATTTAAAAAATTAAATAGAAAAAGAATAAAAACCATTACGAAAGAACACTACGTTTGCGTTCTCTTAGGAGGGAGCAATAAAATTTGATTTTTACTACCTGACATCGAATTTTAAAACTTCCAGTATATGACGAAAAACGAAAAATGTCAGAATTAAGTGACACTGCTATGTACCAGCATACGAAGTCCACCAAGATAGCGAATGGGGTGGAAAATGGATAAAAAAAACAATGCCGGCAATGGTGGCCAAATTTAGCTGTTAAGCTGAAAAAGAAATTACTGGTTACGAAAATGTGAAAGTCTATCAAATTCTGTGACTATGGAAATAGTTACAATAGATTTCTAGATGTAATCTGTAATCTGCAAGAAATTTATGGGAACGGATGATATCATTGTGGTCTGAAAAAAAACCAAAGAAATAAGAAATAAAACTGTATTCTTTGAAAATTAAGCACATATCTTATATTTATATATCTGATCGTTGATGCGTGTATCTTATTGTTTAAATAATTTTCAAGTACTGCATGTCAAAAACAGGTTTTTCATACAATACTTTCATGAGCTGCATGACATGAAGCCAGATGTTGACTAATAACAAAATTAATTGTAAAAGTCTGTCCTAGTGTTCACTTTTATATCGATATTACATCTTTGTCATTGGCCCCGTTTTATCGCAGTTCAAGTCAAATAAATTAAATTTAAGTTAAGTACAATAAAAACCTAAGCTCTGAGCCTGAAATGAACCAACACTAACCAAAAAAATTACATATTCCTAACCAAAAAGATAATGGTTATATTACTGTATATTTGTTTTCCTGAAATTTCGTTTCACGTTTATTTAATAGGTATTATTTTAAATTTATGTATTATTAATTTACAGAAACAATTTCACAATAAACTAAACTCACCTAAAGTAAATATTGCATTGCAAGATAGGATATCCTAATCTTAGTTTGATGGCTACTTGGTTAATGAAACATGCGCGCAAAATATTGTAATGGTAGCGAATTTTGGTTCCTGTTTTTTCGATAACATCAAATGTTATGTCCACTTTGTGAATTCCTTTTTTCACTAACTTACAGTTTTTGTTAATCAATGTTTTTGAGAGGAATCAAACTCACTCAGCTGCTTAAAAAAATTAGGAACTAGCAACAGAGCTAGACGAAACATGTACGATAAAAAATTTAGCAAACGCGGGGGAAATAAAACGAACCCCATGCCTCGCAACCTTTCGGACATTCATCGAAATCCGAATTTAAATTCCTAAAAATAAAACTATACCCGATAAATAATATTAGCTGAATTTATGTGCGACACATGTCGCACCAGTCCGTGAACAATTTGTCATTTCAACATGTTCCCCTTACGAATGTTTCGGATAAGAGGGGGACACGTCCCTTCTACTCTTCTAAATACATCAGTTTCATTCACCAAACAAAGGCTCCCGAAATTAGTTTCTCAACAAACCAAAAACAAGCGGGGATGGATGTTATTGGGGTGTATCCCGGGATAATTCATATTTCGGGAGAAACTAAGAACGTTGCCGTTGCTGTCGTTGACAGCGGCTCTTTCAAAAGATAAAGTAAAGCAAAAGTTTCGATTTCGCACAGAAATTTTGTTTTCTCAAACTTTGGTAAATTGAAATCTAAGTTATTCAACTCGTTCTAATTCAATTTAAATTGGCTCTGCGAAAAATAAAGGCAAATCGTTTTGTGGAATGGATATATTTTTCTGAGTTCTCATGGACTTACTATTACAAATATCCTTACTTATGAAACCAACATCAATAAATTTGAAGAGACATTCAATAAGATCATGCGCTGTCAATTAGTAAGACCTTCTGGAGTTCGTTCAACATGGCGTCTGGAGTGTCCGTGAACTAGACGACAATTTTTGGTTTGGCTGCAGCAGTATAGTAATATGAATTTTAATTATGCTATGCACGGAATCTGAAGACGTCAGCAGCCTTCTAATCTTATTCATCATGATAATATGCTTCTAACAAAGCTTAATTTTCTAGATCCTACCGATGGGTCCCTTCATTTCTTGAAGTTATATTGAAATCAAGTAACTGACTTTTGCTTTACTCTGCTGACCATCTACATTAGCCCTCTGCACTCTGAGAGTATTTTTTTCATCTTTAGTCACGGACTGTAAACAAAACGATATCTGCTGACAAATTAATGCAATCTTACAAACATACACTGTTCTGGCTATAACTTCTTCTTCTTCTTCACTATATCTTGCCCTACATAAGTAGTTTATTTAAGTTCATGTAGCTCTAACAGTACTAAGATTTCATCCAATATTTATTGCGTTGTATTACACATTACTGAAAAAATAATTGTTTATGAATTATCATTATTAGCATCAACTTTCTTTCTCCAATATCATGAACTATCCGTATTCGATAATTATACTTTTCGGAAATTTCGCAGTTGGGAATTTTTGATGTCGGTGACGTAAATCTCTATAAAAATTAAATTGAAAAATAAACAGGTCGTCGCATGGGATTAATGCAAGGACCAAGCCGAGAGGACTTAACGTCAACAACTCCTGCGGGAAAGATGTAGACGCGAAGTTTACGGTCTTTATGTGATGCAGTTTTTACGACGCTCTCTGTAATTAACTCGCCTTAGTTTTCGTAGTTGAATACTGTTTCCTTATTTAGTGCGGAAAGTTGGAATTACGCGGGAGATGTGCCATAAAAGCGTAGCCGTTGTAAAACATTCGCGAAAAACCGAAGAAAATAATATGACTGTGATCATGTTTTCTGATATTCAAGTCGGTTTAACTCGGTAGATAATGAGAAAGTTGAAATCTGGTTTTGCACTTGTTTAAATCAGAGTAATATGTTACCTCAAAACCAATCACAGATATTACGGAACATCATAGAGTTCTTCCAAAA